GTGCCTTGTGCCCCCACAGCAGGCGGGAGCTTCTACGAGATGCGCCCTCAACACAAAAATAAAACGGTGCCAAGAGTGTACCTGGAGCGGCTATGTTCTTTTACACCAGAATTTTGTAGCGTTACGTGAAATCGGATCTGAATGAGTCGACTGCCAGCCTCACTTCGTATGAGATTGCATTTGTCGCTATCACATTCATTGCTTCATATTTTCGGTGGAACTGATTTTGTGGACTCATCCCTGCCGCAGATAGCCCTTAGTACCAACATGCGCTACCCACTGGAGGCGATTCTCATCAACACTGTCACTACGCACGAGCCTTGTTGGGGTCATCTACTGTGGCCACGCCGCAGAAAATTTGATTACTTAGCAAGCGCATGTTTACTGCAATAATATTGCTCCTAAAATGCCAGCCTTGCTTTGTAAATCATTCAAATCTGTTGCTATCGCATTCATTGCTTCGCGCTTTTGGCAAAACTGGGACTTTTTTGTATCACTTTGTATTGCTGTGATAGCAAAAAAAAACGAAGCTATGATAGCAAGATGCACTATCGAAATAAATCCTTGTTAGCATAAATGTCCCAAAAATGTTCGATGTAAAAATCAAGATGTTTCAGTAAAGGCAAAGAGATTCGTGACGGGAGTTTAAACAGTACAGAAAGGAAGGCTTTCACACTTGCCACTTAGACACTGGCACGTTGACGCAGAAAGGCTGGTGGCAAAGATGGTGTCTTTGCCTTCTGTCGTCCATGTTTTTTTGCTAGCTCCGTTTTCTGAGGGGGAGGGTGGGCAGGCAGGGAATAGTATAGTAGTGAAGGGACTTGTAAAACTCAACACGCTATTACAGTTCGGGACTAAGACAACAAATTGAAAAGTTAGAGGCAGAAGTTTTGTGCTAACACGCAGCGTGGGCGTACACACGTGTACGACCTTTGTCTACCGAGCAAGGTACGCAACAATAACAGTTTTCTCCACGACTGGCTGCTGTGTACCAAAGATACACCTCAAAACACTTGCACGCTGGAATCATACTGGGAAGACAAGAAAAAAATTTTTGCTCCGTGGCACAGACGCTGCAACTGTTGCCCTATTGCGCGCGCCGAGGCGAACACCCACACTTCACCGCCAGATCGAAAATTGCGTTTCGTTTCTGTCTGCCACTGCAGGGTCTGGTACGTCGCGCGAACTTCCTTATCGAGCTGCATCCTCTGCTGACTGCGAGCTCCGCGCAGGGTTCATTTGTGTTGCAATTCGTGCTTCAGTTTTGTCTTATGTGTTTCGGGCTCGCCGAGATGCTGCGTGGTGTTTTCGTTGGTACCTCATGTAATAGGATCGATGCGCAGTGTGTGATCGTGCCGGTATATATATTGCGTGTTCTTCATCGCAACTGTAGTTGGTTCTCACTATGGTGACTTGGTGCACTGTGCCAGGACACACGTAAATAAATGAATAAATAAATAAATAAATAAATAAATAAATAGATAAATAAACGTGGTGATGAGAATAACTTTTCTGGTGAACTTTATAAAAACAAGGCTCTTTAATAGAGAAACAGGGCTTTCTGGCGGAGTGTCCATAACCACTGGCGTGGTGCTTCAAGTAGGGATGAAGAATGCCACTAGGAATAAAGAAGAGGTAGTAGAAAAAAAATCCTTATGCTAAGAATTCATTTTATTGAACAATATTGAGTAAAGAAATCCACAGTTTGACAAAAAAAAACCCCGTCTGGTCGGGACGAAACATCTTGAAGAAAGCAAATACACCGACCAAAAAAAAAAAACTAGAGAAAAAAATTTCACCCAAGCACTATGTACAAATGAATAACCAGCGAAATTTCAAACGTGCGGCCCTGGTGTGAAGCAGCGGGTTCAACTCGACGTGCTACGGAAGCCTTCAACAATTATTGGTTGCATGTTCGTACTTCTTAATGAAGTTAGCGACACGTTTCGCTTGGGTTTACCAAACTGTTTATTTCCCATGCCGCACATTGTGCCTCGCATGATCTCGGTCATGGAGGAGTGTAAAGAGCGGTTAAATGCGTTTCGCAATGTGTTAATCACAGTGGCTGTTCTCGAACTACAGGCGGTCACAGACGTCGCAGTCGAAACTAAACTCCCGCTGGAGTAGGCGCTCCCGCAATTATCACGTTGACACTCTTGCGTCCGTTACGAGAGTGTTCGACATCGTGAGCTAACTTGGCGGCGTAGTTTGCAGGATCCGCTCGCCACAGCCGCTTGCATTCCTATTCGCGATTCAGCACGGCTTGTAAGGCTGACGGATCATCGGTACGCCGTTGCGGCCTGCACTCGGTCTCCCGGGTCTGTTTTTGTGCCCTAACTGCACCCTGAACCTGGCGACTGCGGGCTTTCTCACGTTTTCACTGTCAGCTCTCTTATATAGTTGTAGTTGTCCGTGGCGTACCCATGTGGAAGGTTTCAGGAGAAACTGATGCGCACGTGCTCGGTGCCGCGGCTGCGACGATATGAATGACGTCACTCACGACGCAGCCAATGGCGCGTTTTCTTGGGTACGACGCTGAGAATGACGTAACTGGTACAACTGCCAATGGAGACCGCTCGTGACGCCACTGCCGGACAGTTTTAGATGCGAAGCAGCTCTTCGACTAGTCTGTGTAGCGCTGTCGGTCCATGTGCGACGCTGTCCGTCCGTGCCAATGCACTACACCGCGCTGCCCTCGGCGCAGGTGTTGGGGCAGTTCCAAGTACATCAAGCTTTCCCTCACAGTACGCGGTGACGTTACACACACTCTCTCTCTCTCTCACCTGTCACACGCTCACCGCGTGTCAACTCTCTCTCGCTTCAGCTCATCTATCGCTCACAACGATCGAGCGCATATCGACTGAACACTCTTGCGGCTCGTTTATCTGCGATAGAGAGGACGCCGGAGAGCGAAGCTCCTTTGCCCGTTGAAAAATGCACTGAACCAATTTGGCCTGATCCGGCCGTCCCCAGCATTGCGAGGGTTAGCAGAGCCGATCGCGTTCGCAAATGGTGACGTCATGCCTGCAACGCCAACGAGGTGCGAGCCAGGCGAGCCGAACGCAAGCTTTGGCAGTGAAGGAAGAAAGGAAGGAAAATAGAGGGAAATAAAGGCAGGGAGGTTAACCAGCCTATAGGCAGCCGGTTTGCTACCCTGCGCATGGGAGAGGAATGGGGGAGATGAAAGAGAGCAGAGAGGGAAGATAGAAACAGCACATTCGGCAGCACACGCGCGCACACTCACTCATAGTACAGTCTTGTCTTTCGCGGTGTGTGACATTGCTGTTACAGTCGCTTGTTCAAGTCGGTGTCGCGTAGAAATTTCAACAGAGCTTTCGTCGCCTTCTGGCAGTGAAAGAGCAACAACGCCGACGAGGTGCGAGTCAAGCGCGCCGATCACCTTCGCGAATGAAAACGGCACACGGGTTACATATTTCAGTCTTAACAAACGGCTTAAACCAGTGCCTCCTTCACAAAAGCCTTGTTGCGTTTGCAGTTTGATAGCATGTCAATTGGAATTAAATTTTTTTTCCCGGTCTTTGACTTACCTTTTCCAATCTTTATGCGTCACCGCTTTTTTTCGCATCGAACTTGGAAATGTAAATTTTGTTCTAAACAGCACGATGGATTAAAGCGCACTGCGCGGGCCTGCCATCAAGACAAATACAGGTGGCGTTGGTTTTCTGCAACCCTTACAGGAACTAGGCGGAGCCACCAGAAGGGGGCATTGCTGACCTTGGCCAACACCCGCCCGACAACACTTTCCAGTTATGCTATGTTCACACTACGGTCGTAACGTGCGTAACAGCTCGTTCGGCGTATCGAACGCAACGGCTATAAAAAGCGTTACCGCAGTTGTGCCGATACCTTTGTTCACATTTACAGCTACGTACATTACGATTTTTACGATAGGCCAATCATATTTGTCGCTGTAGAATCGACGTCACTAGCGTTCCAATATGGCTCCCATCAACACGCGAGCGCTGGCCGAGTTGGAAGAAATTCACGCTAAAAATGAGCTTATAGTCGTGTATTCAATCGCCCGAAGACGGTCGCCGGCGCAAATGTCGAATTCATTGCGCACACTTTTCACTTCCCAGAAATGTCCAACGACTAAACCATACCAAATGAAGACAGTACGGCAGGCAGCGCGGAACAACTTTTTACGCACGTTGCGAGCAAACAAAGCCAACCCAATCGTCACCACGGAATGGCGAAGTAGCACTTCCCGCGCCGGCAGCTACCGCCATCGCCTCCGCGATGCTGCTGCAGCCGGGAGGACGGAAGTCTCGTCAGGTCTCGTGACCGGTTGTTGAAAACCGAAAGCTGATCGGTCATTGGCTGCGTCGTAACGGTCGTAGTATCGCAGTCGTAAAAGTTGCCTAGCCTTTAACACTCTCACCCACGATCTATGCGTTCGTTGCGAACGTTGGTACCTTTACGTTCACAGTTTGAACTAGACGCATACGCTTGTTGTGCTTCCGCTTACGCGTGTTATGAAAAATCGACGCCTTACGACCGTAGTGTGAACATGGCTTTAGTGTTGCCGTGGCGCCCGCTGCTGCTTCTTTGGCCTGTAGCCATGCAGCATGTCAGTAACACGCACTCGGCGTCAGTACTGTGGTCGGATGCTGCTTGTTAGTAGAGAAACTTAATTGTACCTTAGTGCTTTTTCATTCTTCCTTCATAGAAGTGAGATGGTGTTTTCATTTATCTCTCTCAGCACTTAATTCAAACCGAACCAGTCATGCGAGTGATCACACGAATGTTCAGCTGGGTAATATCACAATTCTCTAAACGATAAGTCATTATTACTCAAACACAGTGTGTTATGCAAGTGTATTAAAGTTTACAAAATTGGGCCGTGCATACGCAGCTAAAATGTGCTCTAAGGCTTTCTCACAGCAATGCAGTTGAATAAAATAGCTAACGCGGCTGAAAAGTATTCAAAAAAGCCGTAAGCAAGAGAATGAAAAAATATAATCACTAGTAGCCAAGTGTAACGACGAATGAATAAAGGTTTTATTTATACAGGTGACAACTGGGTGGGTGGGATGCACAAATGCTTGACATGGCGTAGAGGATCGAGACAACATGCAGTAGATGATGAAAGATGACTTGGGCATTCTGTTTGACGACACAGTGCTGAGAAATGACACGTTTGGAATTGACCAACAATGACAGGAAAAAAATGAGCGCACCCGATGTCCTCGCGAGCGTCCCAAATATCACACAATCACGGCCACGAGAGAGAAGTCTGAGGAATGGAGAGCACGGTAGCTGGGACGCCAGCGCAATGTGTCCATCTCCGCACCACAGTCTTGTGCAACTCAAAGCACTGGTGACCTTCCGACGACGACGTCTTTCCACAGTGGCAAATACCTGGTGACAAACAAAAACACCCAAGCAAAACGAAGTGAGCAAGATCGAAGGGCCACAGGTTAATATGTGAGCGGCGAAGTAATATCCCGGTAAGGCTTCCATCCATGTACAATTGCCGCCACACAAACAATTAGAATAAAGAAAATAAGCATCCGTAGAAGTGTACTTATAAAACATAAAAAAGACTACAAGCGTTAGAGACTACAAGTGCAAGCAAAGAAGACTACAAATGTTAGAAAAAGCAAGAAAAAGAAATTATCGACAAGTCGATGCTACATAATGCGAAGTCATCGTGCAGCCGTTTAGGCATTTTGATCTTGCGAGAAGCTGAGGCAAAAAACTTGAGAGACATGTATAGTGTTTAGTTACATACCACGTCGTGATTAGCGTGGCTGGCGCGGCCTGTTTCGTGCAGACCATTTCAAATCAGCCGCCGCAGAGGGAGCGTAGCACGACTGCCTCGCTAACTGGGAGACCGCGGGAGGCAGCGAGTGGGTCCATTCCACAACAGCTCACGAACGACAGGATGGATGGATGGATGGATGGATGGATGGATGGATGGATGGATGGATGGATGGATGGATGGATGGATGGATGGATGGATGGATGGATGGATGGATGGATGGATGGATGGACGGATGGATGGATGGATGGATGGATGGATGGATGGATGGATATGGCTATACCCTTTAGATCGGGCGGTGGCTAGCGCCACCAAGCCGTAATACTTAATGAACCAAAAACTAGATTTATTTTTTTTCTTTTAAAAAGTGAGGTTGAGGATTCGTACTTTGCAGTGAAGGGTTTAATTTTCACTCGTGCCTTGACTTTATCCACCAACGAGATAACGTCCTTTTAGTTAATTCTACCCGCTTAAAGTCTATTTTGCCCTCCCTGTTCCTAAACCTCAGTGCTTTGAGAAACTCTGCGCCATCACCCTGAACTATAGGGTGAAGCCCTCTACAGAACATTATCACGTGTACGGCAGTTTCTTCTTCCTCTTCACACGCACTGCATACCGTGTCTACCCCTTCGTACTTGTCTCGATATGTCTTGGTTCGCAATACTGCCATCCTGGCCTCGAACAGTAGAGAACTACCCCGAGTGTTATCATAGATCCTTTCCTTGTCAATTTCTTGCTTAAAAGTTTGATAGATCTCTAAAGCAGACTTCTCAATCATGCCGATTATCCACATATCGGTCTCAGCTTCCTTCACCTTCTTTTTAACCGATAATTCTTTTTGATTTGGCCCCCTGCTGTCTTTCTTCTAAGTATTTACTTGTCAATTTTCTGGTTCGCTTCCTCCATTTTGTATCGACATTCTTTATGTACAAGTAGCTGAATACCTTCCTAGCCCAACGCTCCTCCCCATTTCTCTCAATCGCTTCTCAAATTTTATTTGCTGCTAGCTTCCCTGCCCTCAAATGATGTCCATCCCATATCACCTTGTACTCCCTGATTTGGTGTATTCCCGTGAGATCCTAAAGCAAGCCTACCTATTCCACGTTGCTTAATTTCTAATCTTGCTTGAACTTCTGATCTCATGCACAAGACCGCATTGCCGAGCGTCAGACCAGGAACCATGACCTCTTTCCATATTCCTCTCACAACATCATACCTATTGTAATTCCACAGTGCCCTGTTTTTCATTACCGCTGCATTCCTGTTACCTTTAGTCGTCACGTGTATTTCGTGTTTCCTTAGGTACTCGGCCCCATTGCTTATCTGTAGGCTGAGATATTTGTATTTATGTGTCATCTTTAGCGTGACCTCCTGTATTTTAAGCTCATTACCTTCACTGTCATTAAAAATCATGACTGTTGATTTTTCCTTACTGAATCTGAAATCTAACCTATCTCCCTCATTACCGCAGATGTCCACCGATCTCTGCAAATCTTCCTTGTTGTCGGCCATTAGCACTATATCATCTGCGTACATCAATGCTGGTAGTGCCTGTTCAATGAGTTTTCCTTGTTTGACGAAAGAGAGGTTGAAGCCAAGTCCACTTCCCTCTAATTTGGCCTCTAATCCTTGCAGGTACATCATGAATAACAAGGGTGACAGAGGACACCCCTGCCTAAGCCCCCGTTTCACCTCTGTGGGCTTAGATACTTGTTTTTCCCACTTTATAACTACCTTGTTACTTTTATAGATCTCCTAAAAAAATTAGTGACTACATCTTCCACGCCTAGTGCGTCTAGTATTCCCCACAGTTCCTCTTGAACCACACTATCGTACGCTCCCTTTATATCCAATAATGCTAGCCACAGGGGCCTGTGTTCCTTTTCTGCTAATTCGATGCACTCTGTCAGTGAGAACAGATTGTCTTCCAACCTCCTGTGTTTCCGAAACCCATTCTGCAGTTCCCCCAGCACCCCCTCATCCTCTATCCAAGCCTGCAGTCTTTCCTTTATAATCTGCGTCGCCAGCCTGTAGACCACTGATGTCACTGTTATAAGACGGTAGTTGTTTTTTATGTCAGATTTGTCCCCCTTTCCTTTATAGATCATGCTCATCCTGCTAAGTTTCCATCCATCGGGAACATCTCCGTCGATTATTATTTTGCTCACTGCCTCTCTCAAAGCCTGCTTAGACTTCGGACCTGATGTCTTAATCAGCATAATTGGAATGCAATCTGGGCCTGTTGATGTACTACTAGGAACCCTTTTCTCAGCCCTTTTCCACTCTCGTTGTGAAAATGGAGCCATTGCGCCACTCGATTCATCCTTGTCTATTGTGGTGCATAAAGCACTTCTTTGTTGAAATTCTTTTGTCACCCTTGCTCATACATATTCAATAGCTTCGTCCTCTTCTAGCCTAGCACCTTGAGCTGTAGTTATAAACCTCTGCTCTAGGCTCGTCTCTTTTATTAGGGAGTTTAGATGGTTCCGAAATTTCGCAGCTGCCTGTCTACCTTTTTTATGTACTTCTGCCAGCCACTGAGCTCCCTTTCTTCTGATCTTTTCATTGATCAGAAGAAATGCATCCCTTCTACAGCTTAGAAAGATTTCCCACTTTCTTTTAACATCATCTGTCGGTTCAACCCGCTGCTTAGCATGTCTATGTTCCCCGGAGGCTTCCTGACGTTTTGCTATGGCTCTCTTCACTTCCTCATCCCACCAAATTTTGCGTTTGTGAGCGCTACAGAAGCGCCGCGGGTGGTCGCCGCCGAGGAACCTCTCGTCTCACTGCTGCAATTCCCTGCTGTGCTCCGGGTGGCTCAATGGTAAAGGCTTTGCATTCACGACGCCAATCTCTCCTGGCGCTCTCCTCGCTAACACCGTCTTTCATCCTCCGCTACGCTCCGCATTTGCCCTTTCTCGTTCGCTCTACCGGTTACGGCAACGTTTCTCGACGCAAAACGGGTGCCCAAGAGCTGTGCTTCAAAGCTTGGAGATCGCTTGAGCTTCGCGTTCAAGAGGTGAACGTAATAGCGTAATCGCAGAAAGGAACATTTGTGCGCGTCATATTGGCTACTACAAACTATCCTAGAATGCCTACTGCAAGGATGGTTGCGAAGTGTCCACTAAGCCATCACTTTTTTTCCCCCTTTTGCGAATTGGTGAAGTGCTCCCTTCACATCCGTAAGTTGCCACGGGCAGTTGCCTAGCTGCACATTTCGTAAGGCAGCTTTAAACCACCAATTTCTTGCGCCCTTGATATGATTTGGTGCCTGGTGCTATTCTACAATATTGCCATGCAATATATCATGTCTCACTGGCAACGCACCGCACATAACCACAAATCCTGGCCTCCTCTTGTATAAGGTAGCGCAACTTAAATAGACACTAAAGAGAAGTACAGTTTTTTTTCATATATTATTATATACAATCGCACTATTTCAAAAATACTATCGTTACCACGAGACAACGCTTGGTAAGCGTGCAAACGCGCAAAAAAAAAAAAATGCGAGCGGCAACGCCAATTGGAAGTTCCGGGATCTAACGCTATGACGTCATTAATTTTAAAGGCGTCTACTGAGTTTTAATCGATAAAATTGAAGTACATTGTCATCTATGGGCGCCATAGACCTACCATACGATGTTTCAGAAAATTTCATCACGCTAATGGAGCAAAAATAGAAAGAAAAAAAAACGTTTTGATATTAGTGACTACGGCGCAAAATTTAGGAACGAAACTATACTACCTTAGCGTTCTCCGCTAACAAGAAAATTATCAAAGTGAAACTTATGCCATTAGGGTTCTCTGAATGCTGTCTATCCATCTTAGCCGAGTCATTCTTGCTCCTTCGTGTCTGTTTAGTGGCGTGAAACACCTGCGGGTAAGGCCAGTGCCTGGGCCAGTTCGAACGCGTCCCTTTTAATAACTGTAATAGTTTTAGATGCATAAAGCGTACATTTCTTAGGAGCAGTAGTAATGGTTAGCTGAGAAAATGACGTTTATTTCTGCATAGTTTCAGGCTAGGCAGGTATGTTTTCTCGCATATTAAAGTGCGGAAGAAAATCGCCTATTCTTGTCCCGCGCCACAGGTACGAATAGTGGTACGAGAAATTAGAAATGAATACAGTTCGTTCAGACATAAAGAAAAAAAAAGAACAGGCTTTATTTTTGCTAATTTGGGTTGTCCTAATTATTTATTTATTCGTTCATTTATTTGTTAACTTATTCCCTGTGTGTGCGTGTACATGTGTATGCAAGCCAGTCAGTCATTGTGTAAGTAAGATAGAGAGTGTGTGTGTGTCTGTAGCGTGAAACGAAGTGAAATTAACTTTGCACTCATGCTCGCCATCATCAACAAGGACGCCAACGGACAAACTTATAGCTTGATGATGCCGTTGTAGCGTTTTTTAGGACTTCCATACTATTCGTCTATAGTCATATATGATGTTTTTTATCGCGCATTCGACAACACACTCAGTGGAAGATAACAAACACCCTCTAGCTTAAACTCGGCGTTGACGGAAACGCACAGATGCGTTACCTTGGTGCGCGGATCTTGGTACATCCGCCTTTGCAGCACCATTTGTTTCCGGGCGGAAGCGAGGCCGTCCGGCCCGGCGCACTCAGGACTCGGTGTCGCTGGCGTTCCCCGCGCGCCGGCCGCAATACGTGGACATATTGCAGGACGACGAGGACTCGCCGTCAGCCAAGGAAGTCGCCGGTAACTTGCACACGGCTGCTACGCATGCAAAGATGAAAATAAAAAAAAGTAAGGTTGCGAATGAATTCGATGCCCACAAATTCCAAGCATTCTAAACAAACACCCAACTATATTACATTTACTGGAAGACGGAATTTCAGCCAGATCATTTTAAAAAATAACGAAAGAGTTCCTAGTGGATGAAAGCGATGCTTTTCTTGATTGTTGAAATTTGTAGTCAATGATGTTTTTGTATTCGTTGCACCTTGTTCATTATTGTCCCTTTGCCTGTTGTTTATTATACTCTAATTTGTCTTGTAGAGCAACTCGATTTTCTAGTCAAGATGTTTCTTGTTAATTTATTTGATAGAAAACATACATTTGTTTGTATTTGCCACCACTCGAATAAGGACTGTTTATATTTCTATTCTTTTATTCACACTTCTGGCAGTTCCTGTTTGATTATGGTACCCGTGTAAGATAACACGTGATGTTGTAATTTTCTGAGTACTGTACTTGCGGTATGTTTCTGCTTTGCTGCCAGGCTGGCACGACAAAGTCAGGCTTTTACTTAGCCTTTAGTCGTGTCCCCCAAGGCAATCTTGTTCGATTTTGCCTTGAATAAAAGCAAAGCAAACCAAACCAAAAAGGAGACAGGAAACGTGCGTGCCTACGTCACACACGCACACACAGTGGGAGCCTTTATTTACAGGAAGGCAGAGAAGAGGTTGGCCTGAGCTGCAGATAAGCATACGAGTTGATACGGTGGCATCGCGCTATAGTGCTGTGATGCAAGTTTGTTGGCATGCTATGCTGCGAAACAAAGAATGTGTGGACACAAGAAGAGAGCGTAAGCAGTACGTGTTCGTGCTCAGTGCATGCTTGTTCACGTTGTCTCCACGTGCCTCGCGTTGTTTGCAAAACATTTAGTACGATCAATTACCCTAATTGACAGAAACGATGGATCGCATGCTTTGCTGTATTCCCCCCACCCTCCTTTCTTTACAAAATCTGCTAATCGTGTGATGCATTATCTAAGCCCGAAGTGACTAATGTCTCATCAGCTTATTCCCTGCTTTCCTATCGTCAATATTATCAATGACGTACATTCTGTTACATCAACCATTGAATATTGAATAATCCTCTCCACTCCAGTACCCGAAGACCCTGAAAATACACGCCTTTCATTGGTCCTATCGGGCAAATACGCTAGTATTGCATTTCTCCGTTTAAAGGAGTTTTCGAATTCTTCTTAAAGCGTGCACAAGCTTCTTTTTGTGGTGAAGATTCGCTCCGGTATTTTTTTTTTTTTTTGACCAGAAGCAAGTAGCTTGGGCTTTAAATGGCGATCCGCCGCTCCTTGCGCGTGCACAAAACGCAATCCTACTTCCATCTTTTTTCATTTATTGACTGTATACAATTCGTTGTCCATGTATATCTAAGATCGGTTTAGAGCATCCCCAACTAAACGCCGCAGGCAAACTGCAGCCATATTCTCTATTCCGCATGCAACCGAGCAAGATCCCGCCTAGAAGGCTTTGACGAAATCCGGGACGCCGAAGACGTTGACTAACGCCACCCACTCGCTGAAACCACCCCTCGGGGCTTCTTTATGGCTGAAGCTGGAATCGCCCAATATACTTGTTCGTTGCCGGGAACCGTAAACAGCGCAACGGCAAGCACCGTTTCGTTGCCGCCGGCGAAGATACGCAGGCTTCCTGCAAGGCGCGAAAACCGCTTATTACCGAGGCACGTCACACGCTTCGGAAGTCCGGTCCCAGCCGCAGGCCAAGTATCCGCCAGCAGCGAATAGCGTTCCACCAACGTGTTTTGGCCGTCACGGGCGGCACACCTCACAGCGGTAAAGATGTAACTTGGAAGAGTGGACTTGGGCGAAGTGACCCGTCAGAATGAGGTATTCCTTTCATGCTGGTACAGATGTCTTCTTTTTATCTCGTGGCTGAGTCGTGGCGGATGACGCGATCAATAGCGATGGAGGACGGCGTGTATACGAGAACCTTCACTTTCATATATATAACTTCATTAGCATTTTTACCCGCCCTTGCGCTCAGTTCGGTTCGTGTGTAAGGATGCGCACGTATCGACTGTTCTCGCTGAACTATCGATCGAAATAGGGTATTTTTTTATTAGTGTGATAAACTAAAATGACTTGTTCGCGGTGTGCCGTTCGCCGCATAGGCGTATGAAATAGTTAACCACTGGAGAAGTAGCTGCGAACGTTTAGAGACTCCGAAAGCAAATGAAACGCACGAGACACGTGTCGCGAGTCACGACTTTGCCAATAAGAAGCAAAACCATTCGCAACTTTCACCGCCTAGAGAGGGCGCTGGTGCAAGCCCAACATGGCTGTCGTTTGGGGGATCGTGCAGCCGGCGCGCCGGCAGCCGCCACCGGTGTGTCCGTCACTCCGACCTGTGTAGTATTTTCGGCTGCAGCCACCGTGTTGTCAAGGCTTTGCTGAGAATGTTATTGACTCTAGCACGTATTCTATCCCACACTGCGTGTTGAGAAACGCGTGTGCGGCGTATATTTGTGGAAAAGAAGTTTCGAACGCCAGGCACATCGTCTGATGTGGTGTACAGCTTTGTGAACGCTGCTCGTGCCACGGCCGGGGAAGACCGAGCGCCCGTGCTCGTGCAAAGCAGGAAACTTCGCATTTGACTGCACGGCGTCTGCACAGTGCACCATCCAACACATTTTGTGATTCTTCTAGCTCAGCGAGCAAGCCATAAAGAGTAAATCGTTGCTACTACGACTCGCAATACCTCTCCGACTTCATAATAACGGTAGTAGAAATTGCCAGCGACAAAATATAAAGCACCAGAGAACCGCCAAAGTGAGACCGACTGAACGATGGCATGGCTGCGTGGACATTCCCCAAATGACAGTTACGACAGATGCCGCATGGCGACGCCACCACCTGTGAAAGTTGCGAATGTGCTTGCGGCGATTGTGAGAAACTACGATTGTGAAAACACGCACGTGCACACGCACAAACACACACACACACACACGCGCGCGCGCGCACGCCCGCTTAACGTATAGTCAATGTGCTTGCACTGCATGGATGATTCTCACGCGTGAACACCGAGCACGGTCCGGTACGAACAAGTTTATTGAAAGCATCTTAAGAAGAGCTATCCACAAGGGCGACACCGCGAGGCGCTTCCACGTGGAACAATTAGTCCTTGAATAAAAACAAAAAATCCAATCATGTGGCGTATTTCTTACATTCTCTCTTTTTCCTGTTATTGCTTCCGATGCACCACATTCTCTTCTTTGACACTCACAGAACAGCAAGGGTCGTCTTAGTAGCCTGTCCACAGCAATACGTCTACAAAATTCATCGTATACTTATAGTCTTGAGTTGTAGTTCATTCACTGCACACGATCATCGGTACACAGACGTGGTTAGGAAATGTTGAAAAGCCGCATCGGCAAAAGTTGACTTGTAATAAGAGAGTTAGTATTGGAGGACACGTATTATTATTCACTACGCTTCCTCGGAAGAAAATAATTAGTTGTTAGTAATACAGTTTTCTTGAGCGTTCTTCTTGTTTACCGTGCTTTTGGTCAGCGACTTCATTTATATCGTTGGTCGGTTTCTCTTCTTTCAGACTGGACAGGCGGCTTGTGAGCGTACTCCGTAAAGATCCTTTACCTAAATGCAAAAGAGGAAATATATCGATTTTCTGAAACCCGGAGAGTAAGGTACAAACAACAAAAACAAAAAAACACAAACTTCCAGAACAAGACCCAGACCAAAAAGAAAAGCGCTAACCGCAGCACCGTGCCCTCGTAATAACAATAAAATATTCGCGGTTCGCCTAAATGGCCTTCATATTTATTTTCGTATGACTGCCACATCAATGTGGTTCCTGAATATTTAAGGAATCGTCATAGCGGCAGCCGTTTCTCGCGAGGGCATGGATATGATGAGTCTGCTGTCAAGGATATGAGTAGGGTATGAAAAAAAGACAGGCATTAACATTTTATATACCCCTCGGAAGGATCATATACCTTTGAAAGAGGTCCTTCGTTCATACCTGGATGCTCTTTTCGCCTGTTTGGCCACTAACTCGATGATCCAGCGATAACAATAATACATTTTTTCACCTCCACTATTATAGTTGTGTGCGCTCTGTAATTTAGACAACGTTAGTAAGCGCTTAAAGGTCGCTTTGTTTTCAGGTACTCTTAGATTTTAGAAGCACCAGAAAACTTCCTTTGAATGCGACGTCGAGGACTTAATAATAACCTTACTATATAAAGGCACCAGAATTTTAAGAGCTCGGGGCACGATGTTCTTATTAGCGTCATTTCTAGCAATGCTTGAACGACTTCATGAAGTATCTGCGTATTAACACAGTTACAGTCAACGCTGTCAGTGTGACACGCATCCTCACGGCATTTGAATAAAGTGCCTCAAACTGTGGCATCACGGTACGTTGGACGCTTGCTTCAAGAACAAACAAACAAACAAACCAACAAACAAACAAACAAACAAACGAACAAACTGACAAACAAAGAGACAACGAAAGTGTTTGCACAGAGACATTGACTTTCGCAATTCTGGTATTACTGATATTAAGTTTTGTGCGCCTGAATTGAAACCCAGACAAAACGCTTCTATACGTGTCAGCACAGATGCAATTTTACCAGAGTAGATGGAGTCAGGTTAGCGCAGTTTGCAGTGGCAGTGGTTAGTGCGGCAAGCTGGCAAATAGGCGAGAAACGCGATGAAAGAGGGAGTTAGACATACACCGAGGATGAGGTCGAGGCGCCCGCATGAACTTCGCCGGAGGCAATTCATCGATTTCACCATGACGCCTTTTTGAATCGAGTTCTACTGAATACGGTTCTCGAAATAGAAATTGCTCCTGGTGCGTACAAAGGTTTGATTCTCCGAGTGCCTTTAGAAGTGAACGCAAGAGCTGTAACTCGTAATAGCATGCCGTTCCAGACGATTTCACTTTCGCGAATGTGCTTCTGTTTTCCATCGGTGCTGTCCCTACTGCTTCGCATGGTATTTTCCAATAAGCGTCTTCGGAATCTTCCTTGGAAACTGGAAATTCAGTATTTACGCGTGTAGTCTATAGCAGTAATATGACACAAGCACGTATCATCTCACAATTAGTCTTTATTTTGATTCACGAGAACCATGAACTCTGAAATGTTCGTACCTCTCACTTTGGTGCGAAAGACTGAAATGCGAACAATTTGGTGGGCGCATTATCGCCTGCACCGTTTCATTCATGTTCAAAGCGTGCATTTTAAGTAATATACTTCGCTGTTCACGTTTCGAGCTGCTTTGTTTCTCGCGGACTGTCTATGTCGCCTTCTTCAATTTTAATCGTTAAGTTTTTTTTTGCATTGCATTGTATGTGCGAGAACATTCTTTTTTTCTGCTCGTCCTGCTTGGACCATTAAATTGGTCTGCAGTATTGTATAAATAAATAAATAAATAAATAATCAAGATATATGTGACATCTTGCTTTCTGTAATCATTCCGTTGATGACGCCAGGCATCGTTAATCACACCGCGTCGGCTGCCTTCGTAATTGGAGTCCTGTTCTTCTTCTATAATGATAATAATTATTTGAGTTTTACATCCCAAAACACCCATATATGAATATAAAAGACGCCACAGTAGAGGTCTCCGGAAATTCTTGACACTGTGGCGTTTTCTTTAACGTGCGCATAAATCAAGGTAGTCTCATGGATTTTCGACTCCGTTGAAAGTGGGGCCGCCGCTGCGGGGATTCGATCCCGCGACCTGCGAGTCAGCCTTAGAGGACAATGGCAACTAGCCGCCGTGGCTGTTGTCTTCTTTTTTAAATACTCCGATAGAAAACAAAGACTAATGGACCTTCTGGGAATCACGGAACCTCACAACATAGGGCGTATAGAGACGTAAATTAAATGGGGCAATAAGATTACGACCGCTCACGTGTGCTTAGTTCTAACTAGATTAGAATAACAAGCACGTTTTCTTAAATTTTACACTATCACGCATTAAGAAATCTAGAGACGCGATTTAATAGGTGGTGAAGAAATGTTTTTCATTGCGGAGAAAACACTCATAAAGTGGCCCGACGTAACAGTGCCATACCAACTAGCCCAAGCTGCCACACTTCTAAGTAACAGTGCTGTTCTGTACACCAGAGGTCGAAATTTAAATTTAGCGGTGCCAGAACTGCAACACCACAAGGACAGGTTTTGTTTCTCACTCTCTCACTCTTTCTCCGAGATAGATGCAGGCCTCGCACCTATTTTAAGCATAGTTTTGACAGACGCTGTTTAAGTGTCAGCGTTCCATCAATCATTTTGATTAAGCTGCCATTTTGAATGATACAGTCACACATTCTGTTGTCAGTAGTCGTCGGCACGTTAAAGCGGATTGTGTCATTCATACAGGTTTGAAATGCTGGAAACGCAGGCGTACTGATATTGGTGGAGCTGCACCCACCCAGTACAGGTACTGGCTATGTGCAGCATGAAAGGGGAGTCACCAAATGCATTGAGCACTGATTTCTCGTTAAAATTCGACTTCACGCAATTTCTTATTCGGAGAAGGTTGATTTCACAATAAATGCCACTCGAATATTGGCGGCTATATATTTTACAATCGTTTTACAGACCACTTGAATTCATTTTAAGGCGGTGGCATTCTATATTTGTCTCAGACTGAAAAATTCACAGCGCTGTGAGTATCTACCTCTGTTGCGGACATTCGGGAAGGGAAAATCGAGCGAAATGTACCAACGGCATGCTTCGGATGGAAGCACATTTATGTCCATCCCCTCTGGACGTATAGACGGAAGACAGGTATTTTAGGGAACGAAAGTATTTATTCTTATGTAGCAGCGTTTGATCCTATCTACATTTGTCTGAGCCTGCGAAATTCACAGTGCGGTGGACCTTTGCACCAGCTGCAAACGTCTGGATATATAAAATTTAGCAATGAAGTGCGCAAGACATGAGTCTATATTTATTTATGTCCGTGCTTTCTCCGCACGTGGATTTCCAAACGCAATGACTCTTTGAGGCATCAGCGTGGGCCAAGTATCTTAGAACAGGCAGTTTTTTTTTTGTAGACGTAGACGTGCGACTAAATGCTGCGCCTTGAAGCAAAAGAATGGCAGTGGTGCGAGAAGCAGGCCGCGAGTTGCACTCGGCATTATTGAAGTCCTAAATGTGCCAGTTGAGACAAAAAGCAGACTTGCATCCAGAGAGTAAATGGCGTGCGAAGCGGTGGTATAGCCAGTGAGCTTCTTTTGTCTTCGCCATTTCGTTTTGTTACCTCACAGTCCTTTCTTCGGCCACGCTGCCTGTATTAAGGGTTGATATGGCGCTTCGTCACACCTCCCGCTTCCACGGTGGCATGTCGGCAGAGTCCGGCCGCCGAGACCTCTCCGGCAGCGTCGTCGGTCTTGCGGGCTGGCCGTGGCGGCCAGTGCCATCGCTGCGGCAGCGATGGAGAGACGACCTCCCTGCAAGTGCGAAACCTATGGTCGCGCAGTCACGTGTACCGTCATTTACCGGTGCTCTCGAAGGGGTCTATAGCGTTTATCTGTAAGGGTTTAGGCTTAATAGAACTGAAACCTGGATGATAGAGAGAGAGAAACCACTTATAACGAAACGGCAAGCTTCAGAGGAATTACATCCTCTGCCCCAGATGGCAGCTAAGAGTCCTTAGGCCCTAGCGGCATTTTCAGGTTAGCTCAAAAATCCAGGGCCATGCAGCTACAAGTGAAATCTGGGCGAGTTTGTAAAATTTCACGAGCGTCTTAAAGCGTAAAGAGGACGAAGACAAAAAAGACCCAAGAAGGTAGAAGAAGCCAGGCGCTAGTGTTGCCTGGTCTGCATGTCTACCTTTTCCTGTATTCGACTTTTTTACACCGGTTAATCTCCCTGCCTTTCCTTTTCTACCATTTCTTCTTCTCTCTCAAGTACATTCGTGATGGCCTAATATAAGAAAAGGATGTGCGTAGCCTTCCATCCTTGCTGAGGAATACGCTTAAACGGTTCTTACACCAAACCAGTGCGTTGAAAGCCCACGATTTGGAGGTATATTGCGCCTGGGCCAAGTCGACCATATCACGAATCTCAAAAAAAAAAAAAAGAATGCCGCATAATGAGGGAATATATTGAAGAATGCCGCATTTGCACGACACTGTCGCTGTTAAAGGAAAGCCTTATCTTGTGTGCTGATCTAACAATAGTAACTGCTTTCCCCGGAAAGAAAGAAAGAAAGAAAGAAAGAAAAAAAGAAAGAAAGAAAGAAAGGAAGAAAGAAAGAAAGAAAGAAAGAAAGAAAGAAAGAAAGAAAGAAAGAAAGAAAGAAAGAAAGTCAGTTGCGCCGCGTGCATAGATCACGTCAGCGGAGTCGCGAACTCCTTATCACAGCTCTGATGGGCTGTAAACGCGTTTTCCAATAGCACCGGTGGCTTAGCAAATCATGACATTTTCATTTAACATAGCTACTGCAATATGAACAGCTAACAGACTGCAGATCAATAAACGAGCCATTTCGCGAATGCCCCCGGGGCACAGTAATGCGTGAGCAGGAAGCAGAGCCATAAAAGGGAAGCGCGAAGAACGAAGAAAATAGCAGCTGAGTGATGAAAAGCAATAACGTTCTGCTGGAAGCGAGCGGCA